AATAGGAAGAAAGACTAAGAAATTAAAGGAATGAAAATACCGTTTTCACTTCTCAAGTTTCGATCACAACTGAAGAGTATATCTGTGCTGTGGAATTCCCGGCCCATGTAAAGATTAAATAGGTCCTTTGCCCAAAGTTGGTTAATAGTAAGTAAAGAGGGCTTAAGTGGGCACATCTTCATATCCCTGGAATCCAATCCCCGCCCCTGCCTTCAGGATTAATGAGTACAGTGAGAGACATTATATTAGAAAGTGAAGTTACTCACCATAGAGGAATCACTGCTTCCACTCCCGATCGGAGCTCCCTCAGCACAGGTTGGGAGGTGGGTAGAAAGTTGACTAGCCCTGCCCCCATCTATGACATCACAATCTACCTCATAAAAGGTAGTGAAAGTGCTCTGAACTCCTGTCTGATTTCCGAGAGATACAGAAAAGAGAGAGTGAGAGAGCGAGCAAGAGAAAAAAAAAAACGTACCCTACTTGGGAGGGGATTAGGGAGGTGGAAGAGGGAATGGGTAATTGGGAAAAAGAGGTATATGAAGGAATTAGGTGCTGAAAGAGATATGTGTGGGCCTTCTTGACATTAAATAGCCCAGCCATTTGGATTCTTCATTGGCTCTTGAACAGATAAGGGGACCATCTGGGAGAAGGATGAAGAAGCACTCTGCCTTGTCAGGCATTGTAGGGGAACCATGGTATTGGAGTTCAAAGGGGATGAATCCCCTATTTAAAGCACTGAAGATCACCAAGAGAGAAAGCAAGGGCTGCAGCTCTTAAAGCCTGGAACAGTGCACGGGGATCCCAGATGCCTTTCCTGGAAGTTCCATCGCCCTGCTGCGTGACCTTCATCAAGCCCTCGGCCCCTGCACGTCCAGCCAGAACATGGCACTGTACTAAAGGGATACTTACCTCTTGCACTGGGATCACTGGAGGACTAATGCATTCATTATTGCTACAACTGCAACTCTTTTTACTCTTCCCTTTTGCACCCAAGGGTGAGTTGTGTGAGGGGCATAAATAAAAGATAAGCCAATAACCAATGCCTGTTTCTACCTTTAGAATCCTTTTGTAAAATTTTCTCTTCAATATAAAATATTACTGATAATCTTCACTAAGTTTTTCTGTGTGTACCAAATATATATCTAAAAGGAATAGTTAGAACTTATCTTCAAAACTATAGAAATATCAAATGGCATGATTTCTACAATCACAAGATCCCCTGCACTGCCACCCTCAGAGGTCAAGTTTATGTGACCCAGTGAGGCTAACTGACTAAATGTGTTAGTCACAAGCAATTCTCCTATAGCCATATCGTTGCTGAGTGTCTAAGTTCAGTTCTTATGGGAAACTATATAAGATGGTGAGAATAATGTGTAGCCTACTAAGGTATTTTTTTTCAAATGGAGATTTAGAAGTTTAAAAATATGAAATACTTAAAATTGTAGAGTGGGTTTTATGGCAAAACAAAAGTAATGAGTGATATTGAAGACCAGGCAGGTCCTGAAACCATCCACATAAAAGCCAGATTTTCATCTGCCTAGTTGAATGTATGAAAAGTCAAACGATCTCTTTCCACATAAAATGTTCTAGTAAAACTAACAATTCAAAATAGCTTATGATTCATGGCACCGTAAATGGGTAGAAATCCAAAGCCTGTTTCCATATGCAGACAAACAAAATTTCTAATTTGCGACTTTTAAAAATGTTTTAAGCCAATATAGTTCTATTTCTAAACCTGTCATTCTTAGCTTACTAGATACATATTATAATAATCACAATTTAAAATTAAGCAAATTTGTCAAATTAGGGAGCAGTTTGAAACAGAACCTACTAGATTCAAACCGATTATGAATTTGGCAACATCAATTTCATTTTTCACTTCATTATAAATGTTAAAAACATTTAAAGAATGTCTTTAAAGACTTACAGACAGTAGAAAAGAAAAAAAATATCATCTGGTATATAAAAAGATGGGTATTTTTCCTATATGACTTTTTCTGTACCTATTAGAGGAAGCAATGATACTCTGCATATATTTTTCTTGGTGTATTATTTATTCTATTTCCATTTTCTATAATTCTAAGTCTAAATTCAAATTTAGGCTTTCGTTGTATAAGATTTTGCAATGAATAGCCCTATGAGGTATTATTTGATCTCAATTTTTACATATTGGATCATTGACTAGTTGGCTTATCCTTGTTTTTTATAATTTGTGAAAATCTCATTCAGTTTTATAAATTAGGCATCTCCTGATTTTCATATTGTAGAAAATGGATTAGTCATTTACTATTATTTCTCAGTTTCAAAAAGTATTATGTATTAGAGACTTATTTGGGTCATTTCACCTCATTAAAAAATTAAAGATAATTAAGATTAATGATGCAATTGTCCATTCTTCCAGTAAACACCCTAGGATTTTTACCACCCAGAAAAAAAATACACTTATCCCAACAATATTAGAATAAAAATGTAGTTAAATACTTATTAAATATTGAAATGGAATAA